TATGTCCGGGTGGTCGTAAATCGAGTAGGTCGCAAGTTGAGGAGTACCTGTACTTGTATACTGTATTATTTTATGTACAAAGAATACCTCCTTCCATGTTCAAACCATCCTTAGGGCAATAGAACACAGTTCAGCAACTCAGGTGGGCAATCACCCAGCTGACTCACTTTGGGGGAGGGAGGGAGCATGGCTGGAATGATGAGTTGGCTACACATTTACACCCCAGCTGCCTCCACACAAAAACATTCACTTCCAACTCATACACACCCATGCTCTTCATTTGTTTGTTTTTGTTTTATATTCTACAGTGTTTTCTTGATTTCTAAGCCACATTTGAGTGTTGTATTGATTATATTTGTATTTTTTCTCATTCACGGACAAGTGATAAACATGCTGAACTAGCGAGAGATGCTGGGTGGGTTGGCTCTCGTGAGAGCGAAACCCAAGTGTAAGGGCAGTTCAGGGAGTCATATGCATATTAGTGGGGTCATATACTATGGATGTGCTTTAAATTACAATGTGTGGCAAGGGTGTGAAGCATTCTGGTAGTGGTGGTAGTGGAAGTGAAATAAAATGAAGAAAAGCTATAACTCTTGAACAAAAATTAGATGTGATAAAGTGGTATGAACCCTCACATCCTCCATCTCCTGCTCCACCACTAATCTCAGACAACAATTTTCTCTGCTTGTGACGAGTTTTAAAACATTCTTATAAGTTTATTTACATTTCTTATAGATAGAAATATTTTGATTTAAGTTGGTTTGATTATTAAAATATATTAAGGGAGTCGCACTCCACTACGTATTATTTCATCATTTTTCATCTGCGCCCTCCTTCACTGCTTTGTTTTCTATCGCATAGCAAAGTACACTAACACCCTGTAACAATCATTATTCCCCCCTTTTCATATTTGTATTCCATTAACCCTTACGTCACCATAATGTATTATAATTAAATGACAACCAGCCCCCTGCCACCGCCAAAAAAAAGTAAAAAAAATAGATAAGTAAAATAAAATCTTGCAGAAATCAACTCAGAATAGTCATAAAACTTTGTAAATCATAAAAATTTTGCTTGCTGATTATTGGCAATCCAATATAGGGCCCTCTTGGTCATGGCCTTGGTCTGTCACCATGGGAACAGCTCTCAGTTGTTAGCCCCTCCAGTAGTAGTACTCATTGTGCTCTTACCATATCTTGCACTTCTTTGTCCTGTATGTACGTACTCTTGGCAATACTGTATGTTATATTTTTAGCCCGCAACACACGAAGATATATTGCAGAGGTAACACCGACACCCGTGGTGTAATGGTCAGCATGCTCGCCTCGCAAGCGACCAGACCTGAGTTCAATCCCCGGGCTGGGTGAAACTATGGCTAAGTTTCTTTACACCATTTGCCTCTGTCTGCCCAGCACCAATTGGGTACCTGGATGTTAATCGTGTTCTGGGGTAATGATTAGCCGGTGCAGTTGGCGAGTTGTCCGGTTCGTCTCGGACTATTCCTTGACACTGGGTCGTGCAGCTTGTTAACTCAGGGTGTGGTTGTTGTGTTGGGAACAGCTTCTACACCTTAAACAAATTCATGCCTAGGTGGCCCTTGGGCCGGCCATCCTCATTACACGAGGGGCAACCATTATATTATCGTATATCGCCAAGTCTATGTAATTGTTGTTGTTATGATTTGGCAAACAACACTCGTGTGTAGTCAGCTGGTCAGTGATATGAAGTATGAATATTGGAGCGTGCTCGAGTACATATGGATGTGTAAAATGCTGTGCAATATATTGATTTTCCATTTATTGTTGTTATCAATAATTGAATAGTATTGTAATTAATCATATTTCCCAATCAGTTACATGTATTATGTGCAATGGAGACGCGTATCATACTCACTGCTTTGTAGGTGTATGCGGGCATTTGTGTGACACATTACATTTATCTATTGTATTATTTATATTTTATTCATCGTTCTCTACTGCTTTTCTGCTCATTCAAGTGAAACTCCGTACTCGTCGATGTATACAGTAATGGGTTTTGAGTTACACTTTCATGTGTACAGTACTGCAAGCGAAGTTATTTTTCAAAATATTTCAGCTGATTATTTTTTCTTTCCATATGTGCTGATTGCATCCAAGTATTTCCCTAGTTCCTACCTTAGGTATTATCTGCTCACAGGCAGAGTTGTCATGGTTGCTAGCCACTCTTTGTTGTCTGGTTCTCAGCAAATAAATGTGAAAGTAGTGTCACTGTCATTTTTTGTTATACAATATACTGTACTGTATATACGGTGTCTATATCTTATTTATATGAATATCTTCCTCCTACACACACACACACACACACACACACACACACACACACACTCACTACTACTACTACTACTACTACTACTACTACTACTACTTTTTACTTTTTTTTTTTAATTAATGGCCTCCAGCCTCCCCAATAGCCACACCTTCGCTGCCATTTTATTGCCTTAATATTAAATATCCTAATACATAAGTAGTTATCCTAGCTGTGTTGAATTAGTTGAGCCGCAGGTCTATGCGGCATTCAGTGACTAACCTCATAGTCAATATCTGCAACTGTTGTCGGCTTTGGGGCCGAAGCTCTCGTTCCCCTGAGGCAGAGCAAAGCTGACCAAAGGAGAGAGAAGGACATTTGACATCTCATCCAGGCTGTAACATAACTTCTGGGCTGCTGCTTCTGTTTGTTGATCACCTCCGCAAGTAAGGCGTAGAAACATCTTGCACTTGGTCCCATCCCACCAGAGGTTGTGAACACTAGAGGAGTGAAGCTGCCTTGATGAACTTTCTGAATTCTCTCCCCGTATGCCCTTATCTTGTCGTTCTCGTTCCTCCTGTGTGCAGCATCGAGAGCTAAGTTACGGTGACATGCAGCCATGGGATAAATTATCCTGATATCGAAGAAGGCTCGCTGTCCCTGCGTCCAGAATCCTTGAGCACTGACGTCAACACGGGCTTCGTTGGATGTGTTTGAAGTCCTATGTTGGAAGATCTCACCGTCCAATGGAAGGAGGGTCGGTTCTACCATGACATCACGGCAGATTTCCTTCAACATATTTGCTGTGAGATCCCTTACTTCGTCATGCCTCATGCATATGAAGCCCCCTTTCTTGTACACCATGGCGTGATCGACGTCATAGGAAGAGCCACACACTCATTGGGAGGGCAACCCTTCTACTAGCCTACCATACCTTAGAGCATTGGCATCTGTAAATTCTTGTTTATTGAGACTGAAACCATTTGCCCTTATCGGTAACGTAGTTAACCAGTTCGAGGCGCCCACCTCCTGTGCTATAGCTACTTTTTTTTCAAATTCTCTGGTACTTGCTGCAGCTTATCACTTTGGCCGTGCTGTCGTTCTGTCGTAATGGACCTTTGAATCTTGTTTACTTCGCTGGTATCCACCTCCCCTGTTGCGTTCTGAGCTATTATGTGGTCCGTGAGGGCTGCTGTGAGCTTAACTGAGTTTTGATGTTCGGTGGCAGCAATCTCCTTTGGATTGGTTAGTCCCATTCCTCCCAGTCTTGGTGGTAGTACAAGGAGTGATCTTTCTGCTGGGGTTAAGTGAGGGTGTTTCACTAGTTTGGGAATGAAATTGACGCTGATAGCATCTTCCAGAGGGTGAAGGAGGGGTCTGATATCAGGGATGGTCCGCATCAGGTAGTTCCAGAGATGCTTGACTCCATGGGTGAATGCCGCAAAAGCTGCATGTGGCTCTGTGTTAGCAATCTCAGACAGAGCTTGGATTTCCCTAACCCACTCATTCACCTTTCCCGTTACCTGCTCGGTCTTGAAGTCAGTCGTGCCAATTACTGCGCCTAGGTGTCTTTGGCCTTCCTTTGTTATTTTGACCACTTCCGCCAAACACCTCCATTGCCCATTCATAATGTTCTGGCTTCACAATGAGGACTTGCTGGCGTTTGGGTGGTACCCTATTTGTGGGCCTCGCGATGTTACCAAGTCCCACCACTTTTTGATGTCCTCCACTTTTCCTGCTCCTCTAAGGTCATCAGCGTATGGCACTACTACTACTTCCCTACTACTTTGCTGTCACTCGGAATCGAGTATGATTATCATCCAGCTATGATACAATGATATGAGTTATTAAGGATGTCACCTAGGATGGTGAGTTTTGAGGTGACTAAAGAGGCCGATACGGGACCCACAGAGTTGTTCACATTCGTTGCATATGTGTAGGGCTGCATCTGGTGCAGGAGGGGCGGCAGCAACGTCTTTCTGGCGTTGGTGCTTGTCTGCCTCGGTATGCAGTCGGGCTAACTCGAAAGTATTGACACCTTCTCGTGTGGTGCTCCTCCAAGCGTTATGATGAGGAGTAATCGACTCCCAGGTGAGGGGGGGGGGTCGATTTGGCATTTTTTCAGTTTTGTCTTAAGACTACGTATCCTTGTACCTTTTCAGTTGCCCGCCAGCGTTACATTAACTATTCATTAGGTGACTGTAAAGTAGCTGCTTTGGCAGTCTACTGTCGTCCATATGGGTAACATGGCCACACACACACACACTCTGACTCTGACTCTGACTCAGGCTCATACAAAAGAGTGAGCTCAGCAGCTTCTTCAGGAAAGATCACTTATATGACATGCTGCATGCTTGCAAGTCAGGCAGTAATTGATGCATGATCCTGTGATGTGTGGCAGCACTGCTGGGCTGGCAGTGTTATCAAAACATAGGCCTAGAGGTGCATGAAACACTTCATAAAAATCAAGCTACTTGTACTGCATGTAATGCCATGAGGTACTGGCTAACTTTTCATCACGGATATATCCATGATCGGCACCACCGAAACCTATTGTTTATCAGAGATATATCCACGAATGACACCAACATCAAAACTAACAATGATATGAAAATGAAAGTGGGTCCCATGTCAATCATGTTGGTGTTCTTGAACGTACTACCACCTAACTTTTATTCCCGTTGAATTAATTGTTACTACAACGTGGTGTTTTTCAGGAATGCAACTACCGCGTTTTAGAAAAACTGACTGTACCTGTAGTGAGTGAGGTGAACATAGAAGAAGCAGCAGAGCATGTGAGTGAGGGGAGAGCCTGTAGGGGGATGTTACAACAGCTCGTGAATGAATGGGGAAAAGTGTTTTTTGCTCCCAGTTCCAGCTACCATAAAGTGTGGGGGGAAATGGTTTACCAGAATAGAAAAGGAATTGTATTTCCTAGATATTTTTTCCTAATCGTATATAAAACAAGATTTTAATATTTTGTGAATGAAATTAGCTTGGAACTTAAAAATTACATTTGTTTCTCTTTTTTTTTTAGACCAGGTTATCTGTCTGGAAAAAATGGAGTGAGTTGGCGAAGGGGCCAGATGGACGCCTTTCTGGTTCTGTGTGTGGACAAGACCCAAAGTAAGTGTAATTCATTATTCAAGTTTTGGAGAGTTTGTTTTCTCAACTCATAAATCAGTGTTTTCATCACTTAGTGCCCTGCTTCAATCACCAAGTTTAGCTAAAATCTTGTTGTTTTACATATTTGCTGAGAAGGATTAAGTTCAGCTAAACAAAATTATGTTGAAGGGATTTTCTATTGGTTATAATGAACTCCAGTTAATTTTGATTTCAGACATTTCCTTAACTGTTAGTAAATAATTGTCAGTAAATAATTGTTATATTTTCACTTGGAGAGAGTAATTAATTGTTGGGGGGATATTGATGTTATAGCTGCAGCATTAATCTTATAAAGAGTCCCTAATTAACTCTCACAGTTTTAAAGACTCGTATAGGCAACTGAAATTATATACTTCAAATAGCCCCTTAATTCTCATTTTACTACAGGTATTTTAAAGAAGTAATCAGGAACTAAAATTGTAATCTTGAAAGAGCAGTTGATTTTTCATTCTCAGATAGAACAGGTAAGAGGGAATGAAGAACAGTCAGTGATAAGAGAGGCTGTGTGTTCTCTTAGTTCTGGCCACCTGACATTATATTGAAGAGGTTTGCAAGAGTGAAAGGAAATCATAGATTCAGACAAAATGGTAAGGTTGAACCAGCATTTCCTTTCTTTTCTTTCTTATATAAAACTTGAACTTTTTCTCTGTATAACATTAACTTTTTCTCATAATATTACAGTTACTGCAAAGAACCAGCATCTGTCCCCCCACATGAATGGCCCGATGACATCACTCGGTGGCCAATTTGCCGGAAAAGAATAGCAGCGGTTAAAAAGATCCACGCTGCTGAGCACATGGCGTGTGAAGTTATTGGCCACCCCTGCTGTATAGGCATTCATGGAGAGTGTCGAATTACAACGCGGGAGTACTGTAATTTTGTGCGCGGCTACTTCCATGAAGAGGCTACGCTTTGCTCTCAGGTATGTGTTTTCATCTGTCTCTTGCAAATTCCCTTGCAATTGCCTCTTATTAAAATGTACTCACAGTCTTGATTGACCTCAGTGATAAAGGACTTGGCTAATGTTAGTGGCATTATAATTACAGAATGTATTTTTGAGTAAAGTTCTTGTTGGTGACTAACATAACTTCTCATCAGAGCCTTCACTTACTAGTAATGGAAAATAATATAATTCTCTGTTCACCAGATTCTACTCTTATTAGATGTTTCTTCTGTTCAATTGGCTTTTCTGTAATACTGGATTTCAAGGCCAGATTGGTCTTACCTATTTATTCCATTTTCAGTTGTACAAAATTTAACCTTTGAAAATCATATTGGTTTTCTTTGTCAGGTTCAGGCTCCTTATTTATAGGCTCTGGTTACCTCACTGTATATTGGGAGAGAGCTTGTTTGAGTGAGAAAAAAAAATCATATTGGTTTTAAAGCTACTTCAAAACATTACACTTGTGAAGACCATCATCAGAATTACCAGCCATTATGTCTGTCTTGCTCTTAGTATCTATCCCATGTGTTCACGCAGCAGAGATGCTCATTCAAAACCAAGTGACCTGGAAATGTCAGCGTTTTTGTGTGTTGCTCCCCACCTGTATCACTTCCATACTATCTCGCTTTACGGCTCCCATTTGACATGGTTTCCCTCCAATTGTTCTTTTAGACACAGTCAGGTCATGTGTCCCTCTTAAAGCCTTAGGCCAGTCAACTTCGCTCTCTCTAATATTGTTGCTATTATACTCCAAGGATAAAAAATCTCTAAAATAACTTCAGTCACACTGAAATTTAAAATTGCTATATTATTTCCACACTGAATTACAAGTGGCTACATCAGTGGCACATTTTGGAGAAATTTGAAGAATTTTTTTTTCTCAGAGAAAGTGAAGTTCCTTTCAACCCCTTAACCTTGCATGCACACACACACACACACACACCTTTAAGACAGGCATAAGTCCCATCTTTCTCAACTTTTATTACTTTTGCTCTCACAGTTCCATGTTTACTTTATGTACTGTTTGTATTAGTCATACTGGTCATTAGCCATACAGTATTAGTATATGGAAATGTGTAGTGATGGCCAGTCTGGAGGCTCTTGTATCATGGCCACCCTCAGAAGGGAGATACATTATTATAAATTACAAGACAGACTGAGTGATTATAAGGTTTCTGTATCTTCAGCATGGAACGTAATTGCATTTAAAAAGTATAAAGCATTCTATTAATGAATTATGAAGGCTGCAGCTAATTCTTTTAAACACCAACAGGTTTCCTGCTTGAACAACGTTTGTGGTATGATACCGTTTCACAACCCTGATGTTCCAGACCAGTTTTATAGATTGTGGACATCTTTATTTATTCATGCAGGGTAAGATATATCAATACTCATCAGGAGGTAATTTATGTTTTGAGACATTTCAGTGTTTTATAAGAAGTGAAGATTGTAAGCTTTATATACTATACTGACTATACATTACAGACATCCCTTGAGTTATGGAAAGGTTACATTTTCTGAGAAGTTCCTGCAACTCAAAACCTATTTTCTCATAGATTTCCACTATATATAGTACAGTGCTATCCTCGTTAACTGGAATAATTGCTGCAGAGCTCTTCTGAGAATGAGAGATTTCTGGGTATTGAGTGTAAGCTGGAATATTGCTGCAGAGCTCTTCCAAGAATGAGAGATTCCCGGTTTTGAGACAAATTTCTTATCCCCAGAAAAAATTACACATCCCTGGAATTTTTTCGGGTACAGTAAAGCCTCGAATAAAGACAGTAATGTGTCCTCCAATACTGCAGTGTAAGGTGAATCATCTTATCGCGAATCATTAATTATCATTAAAATAAAGCAATAATAATGAAATGCATTCCAAAGTGTGACCTTTTCATATCGTTTGTGTGGCTTTTTACCCTTTTTCCCCCCAAAAAACAATACAATTAATGAAAATTGCAAACTATATTCTTTAAATAATGTTTCTGAATGCATCTTATACAATATAAATGAATAATAATATGGTCACACAAGAGGAGATGGGATGCCATTGTTTTCGTTTGTGTTTACAGCCGGGAATCCGGGACGATAGTTCTTCACGAGAAAATTAAGAAAATAAGACCCTGATTGTAGCTGTAGTAAAATTAATGTAAAAAAATGAATATACAGTACAGTATATGTTTTAAGTAACGTTATTTAATGTTAATAAATGGAACAATAGAAGTAGCTAACCACTAATGGCAAAGAAAATAAAAAAAAAGAGACGGATTGGGAACGCCAACATAAACGTGCGCATTTAAGGATACCGTTTCATTTATCTTTTTAAGAATATGTACAAAAGATTCATTATTGTGTATTACTGAATATGTATTTGATTTAATTAATGTTTATATATGTGAAATGAACAATACAATTCATTAATAATACGTAGAATATTAAAACACACAAGAGGATAAGAGACGGCATTGTTGTCAGTGTTTACACCCATAATGTCAGTTGTCCACCTGAAACTGAAGAAAATAAGACCCTGTTTGTTGTTGTAGCAAAATTAATTTAATAAATATGTATGTTATTTAATGTACAGTAGAAATAACCACTGATATTAAAGAAAAACGTGAGACTGATAATGGAACACCAATGTATACAGTGCGTGCACACTCAAGGAAACATAGTCATTTATCTTAAGAATATGTACAAAAGATTCATTATTGTTTATTACTGAATATGTATTTGATTGAATTAATGTTTACTGTATACAGTATGTGTGAAATGAACAATGCAATTCATTAATAATATATAGAATTTTAAAACACAAACGAGGAGACAAGGCGGCATTGTTTTTGTGAGTGACGATGGTTCTACGTAAGAAACTGAAGAAAATAAAACCCTGGTTGTAGCTGTAGTGAACTTAATTTAAAAAATTAAAATACCTGTATGTATGTTTTAAGTAATGTTATTTAATGTTAATAAATGGAACACGAAGTAGCTAACTAATAATGGTAAATAAATAAAGCGAGACGATTGGGAACGCCAACGTGCGTACATGTGAAACATATCGTCATTTCTTTACATATGAATAAGAAAACAACACTTATTTACTGTTCATATATGTTTTAAATAAAATTTACGAATGTAAAACAAAAATTCTACTCACCAATGGTGGTAAAGTCTAAAGCATAAGGACAGCCAATGAATATTGTGTGAGTTTTTATTCAGATGACAAAGTCATCAGGTTCAACTCTGGCTGAAGCTATAGCTTTGAAACTGTTACTGAACCTGAAGTTGATGTTGAAGCTGCTTATGATGCTGAATTTGATGGTGTAGCTGAAGTTGATGGTTTAGGCCTTTGAATAATAAAGCTGTCGAAAGAACCTTGCACAGCTGCTTTCTTTTCTCATTACCAGGTATACGTCTTCATGTAGAGGTCATTTGCATTTATTTAAATTTTAATGCTTTGTTCTGTTAACCCTTTAGGTGCGTAATTAAATTTCGCGCCGGTTCCTGAAAAGTGTCAATTATCCTGCCAAAAATGAATTTCATATAATCACATTTTCTATATGTTTTTCCTAGAGAACTTTTAGTATATTTTCCAAATCTGGAACAAAAATTCACATATGTGTGCAAATTTTAGAGAAAAAATGACATTTATACCCAAAAATGCAGGAAATTGGTATAAATCAATGTCTGGTATATGGCAAATAAATTTAATCAATTTGGTTACTAAACAGCAAATTTAGATATGTATTACATATTCAGATAATATCAAACAAAATAGTACAAAAATAAGCTATATTGCATTCAGGAAATACTCCTATACCTCAATACATAATATGTCCGCATGTCGTCTCATTTGGGGTAGTTTTTTCAAGGCCGTGGGATATCCCCGCTTGTCGCATTTAATTAATATAATATTTTGGGCGGGTTTACCTGCATGTCGCATCCAAAGGGTTAATGGATCCACTAAAGAAAATATGTTCATTGCTTGCTCCATATATTATCCACAGACCTCTCGCCTTTTTCATACCATTTTAACACATCCAGTTTCTCGGCTAAGCTTATACACTTCTATTAGCTTTTGAAACAACACTACCACCACTTGCTCTCTTGCTCATGTTGAATAGGGATGCAAAAATGCTGTAAGAAACCTGAAAAAGTATTTCTCCTGTTCCTGTTCAGATGCGTGAAAACAACGGGACCGCCAAGCTCCAACTGTTGTTTACTGGCGATGCGCATTACCACTCATTAGCCAGGCAGTTTCTTTGTGCAAGGCGCTCTTCATTTTTTTTTTCCATAAATTTTTTCTCTTTTTTTTTATAATACTTATTGGGATTTAGTTATTATTTATATGAAAATATAATTTTATTATATTTTTATTATATTTTGGTCGTAACTATGAATATTGAAATAAGGACGTAAATGTAATTGGGTCCTAAATTAACTAGGGTCTTAAATATGAAAAGTTGTTGGTCGAACTGTTGTTATCGGAGGCTTTACTGTACTGGAGAAAGTATTCTGAGAGTCCAAACTATGCATATTGCACTGACAGACACAGAACTGTATTTATTTATGCAAAAACCACTGTACATGTACAATACTGTACAGTATACAGTACAGTCGACCCTCGTTAAAACGGACTAATAGGGGGGAAGGGTGTCCGTTTTAGACGATTGTTCCAATTAACCGATTTAGGGGTTAATATTGCATAATATTGCGTTATACAGCTATGTGTATGTTTATTTGAGTGCCCCATCATAGGAGTCCGTTTTCTCTCACTTCAGGACGCCTGAGTCATCCGTTTTCTCTTAATCTTAGAGTGCACCAGAGACTGTTATTCCTTAGTAGTGACACAGAATTTGAAATTGCAACCCCAATTGCAACTGGGACAATCCCAGAACCAGAAATTTGATATGGACAGTTCAGATTTCGTCCGATTTATCCGAAATCCGGATTAAAGGGGTCTGAATTAACGAGGGTTGACTGTATTGTAAATGAACAAAATCCATTTATCCCTTTGTATTTGCAAACTCCATATTTGCAAATTCACTTATTTAAGAAAATATGTTAGTGACCCATTATTCAAGATTCGTGATCGAAATTCAGCTATCCGTGAGGTTCTTAGAATTTTCTTGACCAACCGTTGGCAGATGCACATCTCCCGCACACACTCCGAAGTTAGTCAGTTCTCTCGTGTGTGTGTTGTACCGTCTTCTCCCTCTCACTCCACCCAGTACATGGATGCGGGAGATTGCTGTAACACCCCATTATTTTAGTTATAAAGTACTATACATTGCATCACAGAGTATCTAGGGCACCAGAGTTAACATTCAGCACTCCCTGGTAAAATTTGATTCCTGCAGTACTCACCCATTAACACCCAACAACTTCCCCATTTATGTCAAACCAGCCACTATGCAGAACGTCTCCAATTCTGTGGTAAATCCTTTATCGTAGATTTTATTTAATTTACGGTGTAATTCTTTTTATCCAAGTTCCAACTGCAGTATCTGAATCTTCCAGGTACTGTATCTGAACTTTGTCCCCATTGGTCCTGTTCAGTAAAAATTCTAATCTAGTCCAACAATCCAAACGCAACTTAAGTCATTCATTCACGTGTCTGCCACCAGTAGTGCTATAACTGCTTTGTTCACAAAAATTGCTGTGATAAACAATAAAATTGTTACATGGCATATCATAAAACACAATAGCACATATTTTATGTACAAAAAATTAGCTCCTTCCACACTCAAACCATCATCTGGGTGACACCACACAGTTCAGCCAGGCAGTTAGCCAGCTGACTCTGAGACGTGCGTGTGTATGCCGTGATGTCACACTGGGGGGGGGGGGACATGTAATGGGCGGGTTCGGTGGTCCTCGGTGACACAGTACAGCTCACTGCCTCCACACATACACTCATCTTTTTTTCTTTTTTTTCTCCTTTTCTTTTTTTTTCTTTATTTTAAGTCATATTAAAGTATGGTATTGTAATTTTTATGCCTTTACTCTATATTAGAGAAACCAGTTTTAGTAGGGTAGACAAATATATCCTGAGTGATATACAGTAAGTTATGTGTTTATTTGTATACTCAGACTTGAATTATACGTAGAGAAAACTATTCTTTTTGTTAAAATACAGGGTATATGAATTTGTATTACAAAAACTCACTTCATACAAACATCAACACCATCTCTGAAACATATATCATTTCTAACACAAAATGTTTTGACAAATGTTAATCTTGGTTGCCCTGGTACCATACCCTATTTTAGCTAAAAGGAATTAGATTCAGTATTTGCGAATTCATGATTCTATTACGATGATCATCCAGCTATGATACAATTATACGAGTTATTAATGATGTCACCTTCGTTGTTAAGCTCTGAGGGGACTGTAGAGGCTGATGTTGCCAGTGTGGAGGTGCTTGTCTGTCTCGGTTTGCAGTCGGGCTAACTCGAAAGTATTGACACCTTGTGTGGTGCTCCTCCAAGCGTTACAGTGTGGAGTAATTGACTCCCAGATGAGGGGGTCAATTTGGCACTTTTCTCATTAGTCTTAAGACTATCCTTATACCTTTAACCGTTGCCTTCCAGCATTGCATTTACCATTTGTTAGGTGACTGCAGTGTAGCTGCTTTGGCTATCTACTGCCATCTGTGCAGATAACATGGCCAGTCCAGCATAGTTGTTCATGTATAATGGTATCCTTGATGCTCCTACAGTTGGTGTCAGCGAGAATACTGGCGTTTGTACTCACTAGCAGATGCTGTCATCTTGAGCTTGTGATGCAGGCAAGCCAAATGGTGATATAATGATACAGGATGGCCTGGTCTGCCTTTGTCCTGTACAGAGGGTCTTCATTATACATCAGAGATGTGTTACAGAGAAATACAACTTGCAGTGAAATGCTTTATAATGTTGTTTTCCCCCATAAGAATATTTGTAATTAGGGTTACAGTAAAACCTTTTTGCACCAGCATCAGTCCAGACGGTTTGTGTGTTCATACGTGCGGTTGAATGACTGTGCATTTACAAAATCCAGGTGAATTATATGAATACACCGGACTGGATTTTTATACAATTTAACAATAAACATTAAAAGTAACTGCCCTGGTAATGGTTGTTTGTAAAAACATACGGTAGTTAACACCGAAAGATATTTTAATGTTTTGAAAGGTGTCGGGTAAGTGTAGGGGCTCCCATAATATGACTAGTGTAAACACTGACCTTTGGCTGAGTTCAGTAACAGTTACCCTTCTGGAAAAATGCAACAGTTAGGTAAAACTTAGTTGTGAGTGCTGGGAATTAAATTGCAACCCAGTACTGAGTGACTGAGACCTACTGGTATGTCTGATGCTAGTGGTCGCGCCATACTTGGAGGTTGACATTTTATACCTGTTGTATAAGACGGCCCCTAGTTTTGAAGACAAGAATTTGAGCTTCAAAAATCGACTTATATGCTGCAATGTACTGTACAGTACTTAGATTTTCAATGGGGTTATTAAAGAGAAATGAGGGGCCAATTCTTGGAAACATGACCTGTGATGAGGCGAGGTTTCTGAGAGATTGGTTTTAAATGCAATGCCTTTTTAGTATCATAAGCATTGAAATTTAAGAACTTACCAACATAAAATTGAAAGAGTGCCCCTACACTGCAAGTCTAAGTAAAAAAAAAACAATAGATTAATTTGTATGCCAGCAGGTAGGTGGTTGGTGTTAGGTAGTGGCTATATCTTTACACAAGTACTATAACCTACCTCAGCCATTTCTGGCCATGCTTATAATTTGAATTAATTAATGACCAACAATGTAACCAGATATGTATGTAATATAGTGTCAGCACAGAGCTAGTTGGATAAAATCTGCAATTTGCAAAACATCACAAACTCTGCAAATTAAACACCACCTATCAATAACTAAAAGAAACAAGATCAACATTTACTTAAACCTCTCCCTCAGACTTAATGAAATGATATTGAAACTATTTTAAGGTCATACAGCATTCAAGAGAAAAGAAATATTATTAAAAATAAAAAATCCTGTAGTAAAAATTCTATGTTTTACCATATTGTGGAGAGTGGCACTTAAGGTGATGGTGTGTTGTCCCTTCCAGTTATTATGGATACAACACTTAATACTGTTATGTAGTTTTATTTCGCAGGCTGTTTAAATGTATTTATACAGTACAGGGTATTGTGTATTTGAGTTTCTTTTATGTGAATTATTAGAAGTTGGCATGATTTATACCCCCCCCCCCTTTCAGAAACTATTGGAATATTCTCCAAGTGTAAATTTTTTGTCTTTCTCCAAACTCATTCCATACTTTTCGGTTTTGTTTTTGGGAAATTCCATAACTTGAGGGATACTGTACCTGAAGTTGATAATGGTGCACATTTATAGGTAGAGATATTGATATCGTTAAAGAGTTTGAGAGGCATTGACAATGTTTATCTATGCCCCATTGAATGTTCATTGGAGCAAATTGAGTTCCACCTGTCCATTTGTTTATCCATACCATAACTCTTATGCAGATTTGTGGAATTATACATGAAGCATCCACCATAGGACAAAATAATTTGAAGGCATCCTTGAGCTACACACACACACACAGTAAAAAAAAAGTTTCTTCGTAGATGGGTCCTATGAATTTCGAAATTATTAATATGACTCGTGTTGTCTTGATGGGGCTGTCAAAATCCTTTGTCCGTGGTGTCATATTGTTTCACACAGTGTGTGCCAAGATACTTTTTTTTTGTCATTTTTTACCATGTGTACCTAACTGGATGACTGAGCTGTTTGCTTTGTTAATTCTAACCTCAGTGGGGCAAGTGTGTTTCACAAAAACAGCTTTAGATTACAATATTCTTGTATTTTCAGAGACAATCTCATGTTTAGGCCCTCTGAACTAAACTATCCCTCCCTTGTGTAGATAACTACTGTTGTCATGCAGAAATAGGAAAGCAGCTATAAGATATAAGAGTACATACTTTCTTTTGTACTGAACTGTATTAATGTTTAAAAAAAAGTAGACATTACTTTGGATTTTTTTTTCAGAGTTCTGCACCTGCTCATCTCAGTAGTGCTTCAATACTACCTTATGCGAGATGTTGAGAAGCTGGCTGGCCCTGTGCGAATCGGAGTCATCTACATAGTTTCAGGCATCGCAGGCAACCTGGCCTCTGCTATTTTCGTCCCGTATCGGGCAGAAGTCGGTCCCTCTGGCTCCCAGTTTGGACTGCTGGCATGTGTGTTTGTGGAATTCATCAACTCTTGGCAGATGATGAGAAACCCGTGGAGGGTACTCGCTAAACTGGTGGTCATGACATTGACTTTCTTCTTGGTGGGGCTCTTACCCTGGGTGGACAACTACGCCCACATATTTGGCTTCATCTTCGGGTTCCTGCTTTCTTATGCACTGCTGCCGTTCGTGTCGTTTGGTCCATACGACAAGCGGAGGAAGGTGTTGCTCATCTGGGTGTGTCTGGTGGCCGTGGTGGTGATGCTCACAGCGCTTATAATACTCTTCTACGTCACGCCCATATACGAGTGCAAGATCTGCGAATACCTAAACTGCATCCCTTTAACGCGGGACTTTTGTGCAGAGCAGAACATCAATTTCAACAAGAAGTTGGATATTATATGAAAGGCTGATGCTTGCTTGGGCGGCATCTGCTGTCAGTCAACGGTCACCGACGTGCCAACATTTCTAGTAATATAACCAGTGTAATTATTACCGTATGTTATACAAGTGATCACTGCTGTTATGGTCATTTTCTAGTTTCATACTCGGGGAAATATGGGATATACCAACGCCTATTTTGGCCCGCATGTTTTAAGGGCTAAACTAGCATCAGTCAGATGAACAAATTGGTATTAACATGTTATGAACAAGAATTGCATATATGTAACAAGTTAATGGCAAAAGTTAAATTTTTGTCTTTATGCCATCTGTAAAACTTTTGTATTAAAATGGTTTTCATATAAAATTTATCCTGGATAAGAATATTTTCAATTCACTTTAAATTCCTTCAAGCTGGATTATCTTCCATGGCTGAATTTGTGAAATATTTTATATACTGTATTCCAAAACATTGGCAGAATCCTGACCATTCAGTTGCCTCCAGATCATCTAGCAGTCATGAGAAAACTAATCAAATGCTGAGATATGTAGAGAGTGATAATCTCATTACCTTCTAACACAGTCATGATTGCATCAACAAAACTATAACTACTGTATATCCTTGGACATTAAACCTGATAGAGCAAAAACATATAAACATGTCTTGTTCATAACTGGCATTGATACTGGTTTGTTGACAGCCTATCTTGATGTTGTGGCATTACCTGTCACACTAGAACACAGAATAGTGAGGAGAGATGGGCAGTCGCACCAAGGACAATGGGCCACAATTCTGAAATACCACACGAGACATAGTAACGAGGAAAAGCCAGTGAGAGCGCTCAGCAAGTTTTTGATGACACGTTAGAATACAGAAAACACCGCTCAATTACCTGAGGACAAATCTCCAGTGGACTTCCATAGTTGCGGCCCAACAGATGAACTGGAGAGTGAAAGATGCAACAAAAAATCCTCTCATTCTTTGTCTCAGATCTGTTACTATTATTATTATGGTTATGATTGTATGTGAAAAATAAAAGTGTAGGTTAGGATACCCATTGATTTTCCCCATAATTGAATCCCATATGCATAGTGTTAAGATAATTGGACATCATATCCTTGTTTCCCATTTTTGTGGACCTTAACTGTGGGTAATTCTGAGTGGTCTCGTTCTCTCACTCTCCACTCTAGCAAATGTGATGCTACAGGGGTGTCGTCAGTCACGTCTGCTTCCATTCATCACGTTCAACTCCTTACATTCGTCATTTGCTCATTTTAATAAACTCAGTGCATGAAAAAGAAATACAAAAGTAATTGCAACTGCCAGCGTGCACATGGTTAGTACGTATGTTTCATCTTGGTTGAGTCCGAATATTATGAGTACCTTAGGTCTTTGAACATTGTTTAAAAAACATTTGTTAAATTTCTTTAAAAGATCAGCCACTGGCTTCTATGATTCTGCAGAATAGTATTGGAACCTTAAATTCTTCACTATTTTAAAGTCAATAAAATCATTTTGCTTAAATATATTACCGGTATATTAATGGGTGAACAACAAATACAAATTCAATTTTTGTCACTAATGCAGAAAAAATTAATCTCTAAATCTGTTCTCATAAATTGTGTTGTTTATTTTAGCAGTCAACATTGGATAACAAAATTGAATTTGGACAATGTGATTAGATCCTATGCACGTTTGTTCATAAAAAATAATTGCAATTGTGCATATTCAGAAATAGATTTATTCAAGTCTTGTGTTCTTATTGAAAAATAAATGAGAAAACAAATATAAAGTAGTAATCTAATGGTTAAAACGTGTATACAGTAAAGGTAATGGGTGGTCCAAGAGTACCATAGATAACTTATCCCATACAGTGGGGAATGGTTACTGGAATTGACAACTTAGTAGGGGATTATTTTGCAAATAACATTTGTAACAGTTAGTATGTCAGGTAAATTGTAATTCATATTAATTCAAGAACCATCCTTCCAGACTTGTGCAGATAAATATTTACTGTGTCATTGTTTAGTTGCATATCTGAAATAGCAAAATGCCTGTCCAGTATAATTCCACAATCCGTGACTGACAACCCCTTTGGAGGACTTGAGGTAATCTTGCAGAAGCGCTCTAGGAATGAGCACAATGTTGTGGAGATGGCTATTCTTCACAGCTGTGTATAACGTTCTCAGATAAGTCTGATAAGTGGATCGTGACTGTGTGTACAGTAATATCCTGTGGGCATAAAGACTGAACTACTGAAGAATCTTTTTGAGGGCAATACAAAATTTGATGCAGAAATTGAGTAATATCTGTTGCAGTTCCTCAATTCCAGTACTGTACTATCAGAGAGAGCACACATTGAGCAAAGGCAATGGATGTTCTGGATCAATTCTCTCCAAATTTTATTGCCTTCATAAAATTCTTGGTCACTGAGTCCATACTGCACTTTCTACTTATCACTTGAAGTCAGTGTTTTTTCACTTAAGCATGCTACCAGTGGCATTTAACTTGCATATTGTTGGTAAATAATTCATGTCGAGCCCCTCACAAGTATCATGGAGCTACATCATCACAAATGTAACGAGTAGTTTTCATATGGTCATAATTTCATCATGTAATTTATTTCATCACCTCATTTAGAACAATACTTTGTATGAAAATCTGTTGTTATTAGGATGCTCTCATATGTGATAATTTATAACTCATTTCATCATGTAAGTTCTTGATATTTGAATGGGGGGGCCCAGAATATAAGCTGTTAAAGATTATCTGGGATGTGGACATGAATCTGTGCAACTACAAGAAAATAATGCACAATTTGGTCAGCCATGGATATTGGTGTTGATTAGCTACTTTTAGATTTCAGGTTGATTCTCTGAGAAAGAAAACAATTTTGCACTTGTGTCATATATTAAGTCACTTATAATTTATTTTATAAGAATGAAATTGGGAAAGGTGGTGCAAGTACTAGGGTATTTTGATATCAAGTAATGATGGGAATTTCTTGCACCACATAGAAAATCATCACAACATCCTTTGATGTGATAGGTTTGAGGTACCCAGTTAATATGGGTATTAGAGGGGACATACCTGTATTCTACTCCTCATGTCTTTATATCAACAACTGCAAGATCTGCTAAGCAATAATAAAGTAGGTGAAGGTTTTTCATTTGGTATTGACTTGTAGCTTCATGTAATAAGTCATGGTCTTGGATTATTTATGTGATTGGGCCCTGACCCATGAATGTTTAATCCTTAAAGTAACTTAAAAAAAAGGAGGACCTAGCTTGCAGGTCTTTCTGAAGTTTTGTTGATAAAAGGAATATGATTGATTCAATGATTGATAAAGCCATGAAGTAAAATATAGGGAAGATATCCCAGGTGTACCAAGCGTGCTCTGAATATGGTTAATGGTGCAGATATTAAATATTTTATTTTCATTAGCACTACAGTATATGCAGATACAGGTATAAATACTACTACTTTTTTATGGTTAGGTGTAACTTGAGGTTTTGTTGTGTTTGTGTTCAAGTAAAAAGAGTTGATTCAAAGCTTTACATACGTAAGATAAAAAAGTAGTTTAATCATACACCTTTATTCTGTGCTGGCCAAATTTTGGACTCCTTTTGTAGGAGCCTGACCTGTTATAGCATGTAAGAAAGACCATGTGTTTGGCAGAAGAAACGTGAACACTCCCCTTGCTCAGTAGTTGACTTACGTATCTCAATAAGTCAACTCTCAGGCAAATTTAGGGAATCTTCCCTTCTGCTAAGCCTTTAAAATGTCCTTGACTATGTGTTTGTCCTATTTTATGTTTAGCCAAGGCAGTGAAGCAACTTCCAAATTAACTGTGATTTGTAGGGCAGAACATCCATCTTTGATTTTAAGCTGCAGTCTTTTATCTTTTGGTAATTTATTATCTTTTTATTTCCTTAGTGGCTTGATATTTGATGATTTTGTTGCATGTCTTACATTGATAATGTATCATCATATAATGTAATCCTATGAAATTTTTTGGACTTTACCAATGCTCATTTAATTGATATACCATTTTTTAAGTGATAAGTCATTTATAAAGCACACAAATAACACCATGCTAAGTTTTATCTGTGTACAGGCACATTACACCCCCTCCCATCCAGCCCAACAACCCACTCACTACCCTTTCTACCATCCCCACCACCACCATCCTCCATCCATGTTCTTTTTCAATGCTAATCACCATACCTTTCATCTCTTTGGTGCATACAGTTACTATTTAGCATACTCCCTTATCTTTGGTGTGCTTTCCCTTGTTAACTTGTGGGAAACCCATTTTCTATTCTACACTTGTGGGAGTACTTGTTATCCACTTTCATATCTGTTTTCCTTCAATTTTTGTATAAACAGGAAATACTGGTAATCCCAAAATATCCATTTTTTAAAAAAATTTGTGAGGATTAAATATTAGAATGATAGGATTTTGAATGCTGTTTATCTGGCCAGTAATGAAGGATGCAGTTGAGCAATGAAAAGACTAATATACTTCGTACTTTTATATTGTATTCTCACACAATTTTTTTGAACTTGGATGACAAGTTTATGAATGTTGAAGATTGCATAGTATAAAAAAGTAGATTGTCAATATTCATATTCTGTGGGTGACAAACTTTTCATTAATATTTGATTTTTTTTAATGTATTTTAAAATTGTTGAAGAGGCTCAGTTTCTTTTGTTATGCAACTGAGCCCTTTTTCTAAGGTGAACAACCCCTGAAACTGACACAACTCAGTGCTATGTTATATCACTGTACATAGCAGTATGCATACAATTTGCACACTTAAAATTTCAGTTCATGTACATAACCATTGCCCAGTTTATGGGTTAATGTTAATGTCATATGCACTGTTGTTTTTATACAAGTGCAAAGAAGACAGAAGGGTACAGATACAGATCAGGATGTTGAGAGTGTTTTTATTGTTGAGGACAGCATCACTAACAATGTGTCCCTTTTCTATAAAAGTTGTGTACTTTGGCTTCAACCCCCAATTGCCTTATTATATAATTAATGTAATAAATCATAACATGTTTATCCACTTCGCTCTATAAAATTCACTAGCAAAAGTCACAAATTTAAGGGAAGGTAAAAGGAGCTGCAGGTCTTCAATATTCTGTACTGGATCACACCTTTACATATGATGTCAATGTTTCACTACTCTATCAAGTGCTATTGTATCCTGTTGGAGTTGGGCATTTTTGGGGTATTTTATACTTCTGTTGAAAATATAAAACTGGGTGGACCTTTTTTCATTTTGCAATATCTGAAGTTTTTCAAATCAGAAAGTTTTGATATGGGTATCATCAATGAAAAGATGTATGATTGTGGAAAACTATTTTCCTTCAGCTAAGCATTACAAAACATTACCCATTGTTTTCCTAGGTCTTATGATGTAATTTAATTTTTACATTATGAAGCCCTAGCATATGTACAAAACATTGATGAACTAAAGATACACGTTTGTGTTTTTCTCGAACTTATATAACCATGTAATGATAGATGCTGAAATTAATGCTATGGATAATCAAGTTAGTGATGAAACAGATTTCACAATGTCCTTTTCATTTTGTAACAATAAATTGAAAAAAATCTAAATAATCTATTGGATGATGATATACCCTAACTTAGGTATTTTTCCTGATATGTAACATTTCAATATGGTGATTTTTTTTTCTTTTTTTTTCTTTATCAGGTATGCAACTTCTTCATAATTTTCCTCTCACTCTACTGTACTCCTGTCAATGACATCCCACAAGATTATGGCTTCTTTTTGTGGACTTTTTCAGTTCTAGAAGAGCAGCAGCCTGAAGACATATTGGGTAAGGGGAAAGGGGAAATATAAGGGTGCACAAGCAAATTTCACAAACTTTTCTTAAATATTTGTACATACTTTAGTTCTGAGACAAACAAGATTGATTTTAAGGGATCATGCTAAGCAAAAAAATAACCATGAAAATTAAATTTCTTGTCAAAGTAATTACTCCGATGTGCAACTTTAAGAGTATTTTTTAC